GTTCGGATAATTTAATCCATCCAGCTATCTATCATTTTAAAGTTCCGATAATTTAATCCATCCAGCTATCTATCATTTTAAGGTTCGGATAATTTAATCCATCCAGCTATCTATCATTTTAAGGTTCGGATAATTTAATCCATCCAGCTATCTATCATATTAAGATTCGGATAATTTAATCCATCCAGCTATCTATCAGTTTAAGGTTCGGATAATTTAATCCATCCAGCTATCTATCATTTTAAGGTTCGGATAACTTAATCCATCCAGCTATCTATCATTTTCATATCTACTTGGTAACATTGTTTTAAATACTTTTAATACTTATGTTTTTTTTTTTATTGCTAGAAATCATTTCAAAAATACATTAATCTTACCTGTAAAATCCTTAGTCGAAATAATAAATAAACTTGTAGCACGGATCAAACTTTTTCACAGCTCGGTGTGTTAAAATATCCAGTTAGGACTGATATTGCTACGTTGAATAAAGTCAGTGCTTGAACTATCCAACTACGATGTCGGACGTGTTTCTTATCTAGTCACTCACCTTTCGAATGTGTGCTCGTGTTGATGTCATCACTATAACAACCGTGAAGTCACACTTGGCTGCACAGCGAGATCTTCATAGCAAAAGAAAGATTTTGTTTTATGTTTATGAGTGCATGATTACAAATCGAACTTCCCCTGGTAAAGAATTCCATAAGGATGCGCATGACTGAGTATTATCTTTGACGGAGCTTTAGGCCCTATAAGACATTTTAACACAGCCTTATTAAAACGCCAAGGTCATCTACCTTTGGATTTACCAAGAAAAACGTTTTCCTGTTGACCTTGTGCAGTCTTCTTGGTGACCAGCTGTTGAGTAACCAATATAAGTTTAGATAATGTGATCGCTTTCATAGATAGCAGATACTAAAAAACCAACTGTAATGAGGTTTCTTAATATATGAACAATGGGCTACGGATCATTCATTACCTATGTATTTTCTGATTAAAAAATAATAATACAGCTTGAAGGGAATATTGAAAATTAGAAGGCTTCTTTATAACTTTTAATTTTCTTTTGCGTTCTTGAAACTACATTTCAACCAGTTTTTCTTTTGAAACATCTTTTATTTTGAGATTGCGATTCGGTCTTCTTTGAGAAAGTTAGGCTGTAGTTTTATTGTGTTTGTTGTCTAAGACGATGTTTTGGCCGTTTTGTATGTCTTATGCTCTTGTTTTAGATTTTGAGATGTCACTGCATTGTGTTTCATATCTACGGACGATGTTCTGAAAGTCTTTTGCGCTTTGGCTAGTGTTTTAGGTGTATTTTGAAACGTCATTTCAACGTGTTGTTATTTAAAGTCAACGTTTTGGTCCTCTTGTTTTGTTTAAGGAAGAAACCTTCTTTTATTTGCTGTCTTAGGATGATGTTTTCACTTTCTTGATTAACCTCTTAAAACGATCTTCAAATATTTTCTTTAGAAACAACGTTTCCTTTTTGTTTTAAGACGACGTCTCGGCCACAAATGTATTAGTCTTATTTTTCGAATGGGTATCTTGTTGTAAACGTATTTCCAAAGCCACAGACAAAATGTTTAGAAGTTCTGGAAGTGAAATAAATCCCTGTGAAACCTTCGTTATAATTTAAATTTTCAACTCACTCAAAACAGTATCAATAGCGCATGATTAAGTAGTACATTTTACGAGAAGAGCAGATGAATTTAAAAATATTAAGTTACACGTACTTTACGTAAAGTCAGAAGACACCTGTTGAAATATCAATGGTCACGTTACAGCGTCATGCTTGAGCACGAGAAGATTGCTCCAACAGCAGCGTCTGTTTCTGTATCTTGATATTAAACTAGTCGTTGTGAAAGAATAATATAACAACAAATGATATCATTTCGATGTTAAATCTTCTTCTCTTTAATACTGCTTAAAAAAAGTTGATATAACTTAAAGATTTATAGCAATTTATACACAAACTCTTTTCTATGGAAATTGTTCCCCGGTGGGTCAGCGGTAAGTTTACGGACTTACAGTGCTAAAATCCTGGTTTCAATATTCCGTGGTGGAGAGAAAGCAAATAGCCTATCGTGTAGCTTTCGCTAGAAAATAAAATATATGCAAATTTAGGCTAAAATAAGCATCTTCACTTTCCTTCACTTTTTATTAAGATATAACACATTTCGTACTTATTAAAACTTCTTTAGTTATAATAATTTAAATACATACTCTTCGCTGGGGGATATGCATTATATTGACTATAGCGATTAATAACAAAGTAATAGTCTCCGTCCCATGGCTGATAGAAACCAAATCTTATATAATTAGTCAAGATATTAATTTTCATTTGATTATCAAGCATAAGATGACTTCATTAATCACTGACTGTACGAAACAGTATGACACAAACTGCCACAAAGTTACTGTTTTACAGTATGAAACAAGCTGTTACAGAGTTAGTGTTGTACAGTATGAAACAAACTGCCAAAAAGTTACTGTTTTACAGTATGAAACAAGCTGTTACAGAGTTAGTGTTGTACAGTATGAAACAAGCTGTTATAAAGTTAATGTTGTACAGTATGAAACAAACTGTTACAGAGTTAGTGTTGTACAATATGAAACAAACTGTTACAGAGTTAATGTTGTACAGTATGAAACAAACTGTTACAGAGTTAATGTTGTACAGTATGAAACAAACTGTTACAGAGTTAATGTTGTACAGTATGAAACAAACTGCCAAAAAGTTACTGTTTTAACACTAACTCTGTAACAGCTTGTTTCATACTGTGTACAGTATGAAACAAGCTGTTACAGAGTTAGTGTTGTACAGTAGGAAACAAGCTGTTATAAAGTTGCTGTTGTTACTGTTCTACAGTATGATAGAATCTGTTATAAAGTTACTGTTGTAGTACAGTATGATGCAATCTACCACACAGTTACTGTTCTACAGCCTGATAGAATCTGTTACAAAGTTAATGTTGTAGTACAGCAGTAGTAGTTTCGTATGGTGTTTCTCACACCTCCAAATTCTGTTGGAGGTGAGTATCCGGGAGTAGGACTGACGTTCTAGTCCGGACACTGGGTGAGCATGTTTCGGTGTGACGGGGATTCGAACCCGCGACTCGCAGATTGCGAGTCGAGTGCCCTAACCACCTGGCCATGCCGGGCCTGTAGTACAGTATGATAATACAATCTGTTACAAAGTTACTGTTGTACAGTATAATACAATCTGTTATAAAGTTACTGTTGTAGTACAGTACGATGCAATCTACTATACAGCTACTGTTATACTTCAAGATACAAGCTGTCATACAGCTAATGTTGTACAGTATCATAAAACCTGTCATACAGTTATTGCTATCTATTATCATACACGCTGCCATACAGCTACCGTTGTATAGTATTATAAAAGCTGCCATACAGTTGCTGTTGTAAAGTATGATGCAAATTGTTATACAGTATCATACAATCTGCCATATAGTAACAGTGTTGTACAGCACAATAAAAGCTCTCACAAAGTTAGTGTTTTACCTCGTGATACATGAATTGTATTGAAAAAAGCTGCACTTAATGTAGTCTCCTCTAGAGAGCTATGAGTTAAATACATTTTTAACGATTAGCAGCGAAAGATAAGTTACTTTAAAAGCTGCTTTTGTTCCATTAATAAACATTGCTACTTTATAACAAAGTACAATCATTTTGTAAGCTCATCTAAAATATGAACCAACGTTCAAGTGAGAAAAAGCTTATTCATAAATTGCAATAATTTTTAATAACTGTGGTTTTGTTACCGTTCATTAATAAATAAATTCACAATATAAGAAATGATGCTTACTGCATTTCTTATAATCATAAAATATGAAATTTATTAGAACGTGGCTTCCAATTTGTATAGCCATACGTTTCATATTTACAAATAAGAATTCAATAGCTATTAAATTGACTGAATTACAAACGATAATAAATTAAGATTAGGTTTCATGTCTGAATACATTTATTAGTTGCTTATATTAAGAAGTTTACAAGTACACTTTACTGAATTCACCAACATGTTGAAAGAACATTTGTTAAGAAAGACTTGCCCTCAACCCCCCCCCCCCCCAGTAGCTCAGCGGTAAGTTTGAGGGCTTATAACGCTAAAAATCTGGCTTCTATACCCGTGGTTAGTATATCACAGATAGCCCATTGTGTAACTTTGGGCTTAACAACAAATATACAAAAGAAAGAAAGACAGCATCACATATTCGTGTTTAATACACGTATACAGGGCCGGTTGTGGCTTAGTGGTTAGCATGATTAAACTGTAAATCCGAAAGTTCAGAGTAGAGGTTGCAATCCCAGGATCCCATATGTTAATCGTGCTTCCCACATTCTGAGATATGCAGAACAGAATCCCGATTAGAGGGGGTGTCAATGATATTCCTGATCTTTTCTGCTGCTGGTGGTGATAATTAACAAAATTGCATGAAAAATTTAACTAATGCAATTTCTTCATTAACATTTAGTATACAGCTGCCTGTACTAAAGTTTAACTGCTTATAGTCTGGATACTGGACGACCCTTCTTGTAGGACGATCGTAACGTAGTCAGACATACATACAAAAGGGATCCGACTCAAATTGGTTTGGTTTGTTATGAATTTCGCGCAAAGCTACACGAGGGCTATCTGCGCTAGCCGTCCCTATTTTAGCAGTGTAAGGCTAGAGGGAAGGCAGCTAGTCATCACCACCCACCGCCAACTCTTGGCTACTCTTTTACCACTGAATAGTGGGATTGACCGTCACATTATAACGCCGCCACGGCTGAAAGGGCGAGCATGTTTGGTGTGACGGGGATACGAACCCACAACACTCAGATTACGAGTCGAGCGCCCTAACCACCTGGCCATGCCGGGCTACTTTAAGTGAAGCAGAAAAGAAGGTGTTAGGAAAGCCGAATTCTCCCAGACTTGTTCAATCGGTGAACACAAGGTCGACATTGTCCTCTTGTGGTCCAGGTAACTTATAGCTTAAAGAACAAGGAATATTTGTTGATGTGGGAAATAACTAGCAGTAGTCATAGAAACAGAATAAAACCTATAGATCACCAAAAACTCTACATTGCATAATTTTTCATTTTAAAGGAGGAAAGCTTGTGGGAGGAAAGAGAGAGTGAGAGGCAACTCCAGAATAGCAGTAATAGAACTCCACTGGCCAAGAACTCACTGTGTATCAAAAGAAACATTGGCATGAATAACCTTAATTATCCAGCAGATATTAGCGGAGAAAAAGAAAAGTTCTGGAAAATCTGCTAAACACAGATATGTACATTTTATATACTTATGTGTTTGATTTCTTCTTTATGTATATGCTTTTGCTCCTAAATATTTTTACATTTGTGTATATGTATTTTTGATTTTTACTTATGTACCATATTTTTCGCATGTTTTGAAACTTTTGTTTCTATGTATTTGATTTAATAAGTTTTCATTATCAATTTCTCATTTTTAATATATGTTATGTAAACCTTGTTCTTGTAAATATGTATAATGTATATTCCTAATTTTTCATTTTTCTTCTTTCGGATATTGTTCTAGTTTAACGGGTTGTTTAACAGATTACTTTCTTTTAAAGAATAATTTCAAGTTTAATTTTGTTTCAAGAGTGTTCTTGGTGTTTTTATAAAGGATTTATTTCCTTTTTCATGCATTTAAACTTGTTACAAAGAAGCTTTTAGTTTTTTTATGTTTTCTACTTTAAATTTTTACTTTACTTCATTTGTTTGTTGTAGCGCCAAGTTGCACAATAAACTGTCTCTGCTCCATCCACTGCAGGGAATCGGTCACTAGATTTTAACGTGGTAAGTCTATAAATTTACCACTGGCTCATTCTGAGACTTTTAGTCTAAGGTTCATTTTATTTAAAAACAGTTTACTTTTGTGTGCACTTAGCTATAATTTTAAAGGGACTTATTTTGTAAATTGTGTTGTTTTTAAAGGTTTTATTTTCAATGTGTTTGAAAGTCTTTTTTTTTCCTAAAGAGTTTTGCTTTTAATTATATTGGTTTAATGTCACATTATTCTACTTAATTTTTATTTAGTTTTTTATGGCAACCAAGCAGTAGATAAGTGTCCTCACTGATTTTACATGTTTCACAATGTTATATATTACTCACCGTTGCAATGCTTTCTTGATTTGTGTTTTGTAATTATCTATTATAATGATACTCATTTTTTGTCATTCCTGAAAATGCGCACATACCTTACTATGTAAATACTATCTAAATACGCGCGTATTTCATTTTAGAATGTAAAAAAGGCGGGTGTAAATATACTTTAGTGGACATGTTGTACAACAACGTTCCTGGTGGAACAGCGGTAAGCTTACAGTCTTACAACGCTAAAATTCAGGGTTCGATTCCCCGCACTGGACACAGCAGATAATCCAATATGGCTTTGTTCTAAAACAAACAAACTTCTATGTACAACAACATATTCAAAGCTTATCAAGTTTTTAAAAAGGTCTATCTTTAGGTCGTAGAATAGCATTATAAGTTTACTTATTGATAGTAGTAAGTACGGTAAAGTTTAGCCTAAACTAAACTAAAGAGAAAAACTTACACAAGTTACAGTGTTAATTTATCTCTTTATCGAATATAGCTCATACTTAATGGACTTATAGATATTTGAATATATTTTGATCCATCCTGTCCACACCTCCCATACACTCATTATACAACTTCACCACTAATGGCTACTTTATTTGCATTTTCTTTCCTTTTAGAAGTATAGCGGGTTGCCTGAAATATTGGTTCTATGCCTACAGCATTGGCACACAGGTTGACAACATTTTTATCTTGGCAATGGCACACGATTATCTCATCATTTTCATTCAATCTGAAATCAAATTAACCTCTCTTCATTTTTTTAAAATTCATTTGCATTCATGAGTGGACACCTTTAGTCCTGTTGTCACCAACTGTTTCGGTTTCCTCCTCTCTCGCATTCTTCAAAACTGACATCAGTTTTACACTGGTGAAGAAGTTGTCAAAACATAAATGATAGAGTTGTTTATCTCGATCTAGAAGAACATTAGCAAACTTCACCACTAGATTTCCTCCTAAACCAATATTAAGATCCTTACTTGTATTATCACTTGAGTTTTCTTGATATGGCTCAAACCAAATTAAGTATTTCAGGGTATTTGTTCCGCACCAAAGTTTATATCCAAAACGAATAGGTTCCCCACGCAGGAATTGCTTGCATCCATGGTGCCTAAAATACTCACACATGGAATCATCAGAGCTGTAGTATTCCTCTAAGAGAGAGCATACAAAGGAAATTTCTATTTACTCAATCCACAAGAGGCCTTATCTTTCAAACTTATCTGTTATATCTAGGCTGTTGTTATTTGCAAAATGCATGTGTGTAAAGATCGCTATAAATCTGGCTCTTCTAACTATATTGAGAACAAGACCATAATGTGAATCAATAGCATTTTCCCAAAACATTTTCCTATTTGGATATGAGACATACCCGCTCAAAAGCAGAATACCAAGAACACACTTCATTTATCATCTGTAACACCCAATTTTATATTTTTCTGAGAAGCATAACGGTTTGTTTATTTGACAATCGAGTTAAATATTCTTTCATTAAAAAAAAAATAATTCAAATAGTTCTATTGGGTTCAAATTTTGAGTTCTGAGATTTTCAATTCCAAAATACGATGCTGAACAGTTTGAAAACTCGGGTCTAATGTATTTTTTCGTTCATTTCTGTATAGGTGCGGTTGTCCTCTTTTGCCCTTTTTTTTCTCAGGTTGTGTCTCGGGTTCATTATTTTCATAACCAATATCTAAATCATCAGTTAGCACCGAGGCTCTGAGCATGCTTCCAGGCAAGTTATTCATTGTACCTCCGCCACCTTCTTCTTCTGAATCTTCGTCAGTCACCTGTAGCATATTCTGATGGTAAGTTGCATATTGTGTGACTTGAGTCGTTATGACAATTGTGTTTCAATAATATTGTTGCGTCAGCGAAGTCACATGACTTGTGT